CCCCCCCACCCGCAGCGCTGCGATCCCAGGGGTGCGGGAGGCGGGCCGGGCCGGGCTCGGAACGCCGCGTGTTACGGGGGATTCGTTTCCTTTAGCGGTTCGGAAAACGGAGCCACCAACTGAGCGCGGCGGCGCCGCCGACCCCAGCCGGGGAAGGGACCCTCTGCCCCGGGCGAGCGCTGCTGATCCCGGCCGGGGGAGGGTGGGGGCTGCCTACGGGCCCCAGCCCCTGGGGACACGCTGTGCCTGGGCCGGCCCCGTGCTCGGGGGAGGGGGGCCCGACCTCACTCCCGGCCCCGGCCGCTCACCCATCGCGCTGCTGCTGGCCCGAGCCGCAAAGAGAAAGATCCAGCATGCACCGCGGCTCCTACACGTCGCTGCGAGGACCCCGCGCGAGGCGGCCTGGCCGCGCCTGATGAGAAACGCACCTCCGGCGCAGAGACAGTCGCAAAATCCATGACGGCACCGTCCGCCCCGAGAAGGGGCACAGCCGGAAGTGGGAGCCGTTGTCAGGGAAACGACAACTCCCAGAATGCATGGCGCCGCACCCACCAGGTGGTATGTTCGCCTGGCCCAGTTCTACCCTTCCGCTGCGGCATCCCCCAAGCGGCGGCCCTTGGCTGTGTGCCCTGCTGCTCCCAGTGCTAGGGCTGCCCCCGGCGTCTCTGCCCTTCCCCCTGGCGGAGCCGCAGTCTCCTCCACTAGGGTGACCAGATGTCCCTATTTTATAGGGACAGTCCCCATACTTGGGACATTTTCTTCTATAGGCGCCTATTACCCCCACCCCCGTCCTCATTTTTCACACTTGCTGTCTGGTCACCCTATCCCCACCCCCCCCGAGGTGGCTGCCCCAGCTGGGCTGGACGCCCTAGCACTAGAGTTGCTGATTTTGATTGGACCTATTCCTGGAGGTTTCGTCACTTGACATAATCTTTAATTAAAGATGAATCTTTAATTCCTGGAGACTCCAGGACAATCCTGGAGGTTTGGCAACCCCACCTGGTGCTGCTGGGCAGGTGCGATACAGGCAAGGGGCCTGCTCCATTTCTGCGGCCGAATGTGTGTCCTCGCACCCTCCCTCCCAAGGTCTGGTGCCTGCCCTGGGCTCCGTTCTGCGCCCATTGGTGTCAGCGGGAGGCGGTGTGTGTGCAGGATTTCATAGAATCATAGGACTGGAAGGGACCTTGAGAGGTCATCTAGTCCAGTCCCCTGCACTCATGGCAGGACTAAGTATTATCTAGACCAAGTGTTCTCAAACTTCATTGGACCATGACTGTTTTCTCACAACAAAAACTTACTACACGACCCCAGGAGGGGGACTGAAGCCTGGGCCCACTCCAGCCCCACCGCCCCGGGCAGGGGGGCTAAAGCCAAAGCTCAAGGGCTTCAGCCCTGGGCAGGGGGTCAGTAATCTGAGCCCTGCTGGCCATCCAGGGCTGAAGCCCTCAGGCTTCGGTTTTGGTCTCAGGCGGTGGGGTTCAGACTTCAGCCCAAGGCCCCAGCAAGTCCAACATCAGCCCTGGCGACCCCATTAAAACGGGTTTGCAACCCACTTCGGGGTCCCGACCCACAGTTTGAGAACCGCTGTTCTAGACCATACCTGGCAGGTGTTTGTTTGACTTGCTCTTAAAAATCTCCAATTATGGAGATTCCACAGCCTCCCTAGGCAATTTTTTCCAGTGCTTAACCACCCTGACAGTTAGGAAGTTTTTCCTAATGTCCGGCCTAAACCTCCCTTACTGCAATTTAAACCCATTGCTTCTTGTTCTGTCGTCAGAGGTTAAGAACAACATTTTTTTCTCCCTCCTCCTTGTAACAAACTTTATGTACTTGAAAACTGTTATCATGTCTCCTTTCAGTCTTCTCTTTTCCATACTAAACAAACCCAATTTTTTCATTTTTGCCTCATAAGTCATGTTTTCTAGACCTTTAATCATTTGTGTTGCTCTTCTCTGGACTTTCTCCAGTTTGTCCACATCTTTCCTGAAATGTGGCACCCTGAACTGGACACAGTACTCCAGTTGAGGCCTAATCAGCGTGGAGTAGAGCGGAAGAATTACTTCTTGTGTCTTGCTTACAACACGCCTGCTAATACATGCCAGAATGATGTTCGCTTTTTTTGCAACAGCATTATACTGTTGACTCATATTTAGCTTGTGATCCACTATGACCCCCAGGTCCCTTTCTGCAGTACTCCTTTCTAGGCAGTCATTTCCCATTTTGTATGTGTGCGACTGATTGTTCTTTCCTAAGTGGAGTACTTTGCATTTGTCCTTGAATTTCATCCTATTTACTTCAGACCATTTCTCCAGTTTGTCCAGATCATTTTGAATTATAATCCTGTCCTCCAAAGCACTTGCAACCCCTCCCAACTTGGTATCATCCGCAAACTTTATAAGTGTACTCTCTATGCCATTATCTAAATCAGTGGTTCTCAAACTTTTGTACTGGTGACCATTTTCACATAGCAAGCCTTTGAGTGCGACCCCCCCCCTTATTAATTAAAAACACTTTTTAAATATATTTAACACTATTATAAATGCTGGAGGCAAAGCGGGGTTTGGGGTGGAGACTGACAGCTCGTGACCCGCATGTAATAACCTTGCGACCCCCAGTTTGAGAACCCCTGATCTAAATCATTGATGAAGATATTAAACGGAAACAGAAGCAGACCCAGAACTGATCTCTGTGGGACCCCACTCGTTATGCCCTTCCAGCATGACTGTGAACCACTGATAACTACTCTCTGGAAACGGTTTTCCAACCAGTTATGCACCCATCTTATAGTAGCTCCATCTAGGTTGCATTTCGTTAGTTTGTTTATGAGAAGGTCATGTGAGACAGTATCAAAAGCTTTACTAAAGTCAAGATATACCACATCTTCCTCTTCCCCCATCCACAGGGCTTGTTACCCTGTCAAAGACAGCTATCAGGTTGGTTTGACACGATTTGTTCTTGACAAATCCATGCTGACTTACTAATCACCTTATTATCTTCTAGTTTGGTCTCATTGCCAACCCCAAGCATTCAGAAAGCACAAGCCAAGGGCCCCCAAAATCACGAGGTTAGCTTACGAAGCACACAGTTTCACCAGATAACAACAGTGAGTTGTCTATTCACCTTCTCATGTTTGTGCCTGTAGGGGTCACATTTTCCAGGTTTTCTCCACAACCACAAGGGAAAGAAAGTTACTTTTTTTAGGGTTCTCACATACTCACAAATCCAGGAGCTGAGTCTACCAGAAAAACACTGATAAAGACTTACAATAACTATTGTAAGTAAAGACTTACAATAACATCACAAAAGTTAGCGATACTGAGCCCATGAAGGATGGTTAAAGAAAAACAGCCCCAGCCATCTCTGTCTGTTATAGCTGAGGGAATTAATTTTGTCCTGCATATTTTATTCATTCAGCTTTTCCTATCTTTGCTTCTTCAAACTGGTCAATGAGTTCTTATTTGCTCTGTAACTAGACACATTCATCAAGTTAATGTCCCATGTTTGTCTATTCTCAGTGGATGACGCTAATTAACATTGCTGGATTGTTTTCTTTTTAACTTCAGTCTGGGGATCAGTTTTTTTTAAAAGGAGGCCAAGAAACCTAACTAGCCACTTGTACATGCAGTCATTCCACTTAGAGCAATCTTTTTGTCAGCCTCCTCACCATGAGCTTCATAAGAAGAGAGGAGTTCTCGTTGGCTTGCCATCTCTGTGGATCCTTGTCTCCCACATTAGATCTTTGTTGGGTTGAGTTGCCGTTGAAAGGATGGGTTTATATTTCATTTGCTTCTTTTTAGGGATTGGACTTGGGCTGCAGACAAGCCCATGGTTTCACACTTGGTAATAATGGGCCATTTCTCTTCTCTGATGGTAGCTCGTGCCCATGGTGTGGGATGCTTCTCCTTTTCAAAGTATTGGTGGATAGGAAATAGAACCACAGATCTGGATTACCTCCACTTTTGTGTGTTTGAAGGAGCAGTGGGGTGCAAATTTGGGTGCCTACCTTTGCAGTTGTGGTTCCAGTGTGAAACATAGGTTGCCTTTGGTTTATTTCTGATTCAGAAATCAGCTCCTTCAATTTCTGCAAGCCTGACAGTCCCCGTCCTGCGGAGGCCTGGTAGGAAGGAACAGGGGCCAGTCTGTGTGGAGAATACTAAGGTTGGGCAGTGGTTATTGTGGGTGTTAGGGTGCTGGCAGAGGGAGGTCCATGGGTGGCTGAGCCGCTCCAAACAGCCCAAATGGCCCTGCCCATGCTCCGCCCTCAGGCCCTCTCCTGATTCCTAATGGCACTCTTCCCCTGTGGCCAGGCTGGGGCTAGCGGTGGCTGGCCTGTGGCCAGGGACTCTGGGTGGCTCCAGGGCTGGCAGTGCTGGGGGCTGCACTGCCTGCCCAGTGCTTGGGGCAGTACCACCTGCCTGCCGGGGTCTAAGTGTGTGGGAAACAGTCTGCTGAGGGAATGAAGCTGATTTGTGGAGCGATGAATTGACACAGAATCCCAGTTTATGGTGAGAGTGAGAGTTAGGCAGCATGTGGGTAGAATGGTTGGTCAAAATGAGCCTTTCCCTAGAATTTGTATTAATTTTTGCTACTGTATGTTGTGACCAGGTTCTTACATGCTCTTATGTAGCATTTCTGGAGCCGGTTCATTATGTGTGGCAAAACCAGACTTCCTTGGCCCAATACTTATTAATGGAATATAAATAAATTAAGAGCATGCACCTTTTACAGTAGTCTGTCGTCAACTTTGGTTGTAGCATCCTGTTTTATAAACTGTTCAGCTTCCAGTGACCTAGTCCCTGGTGTGCCATCTGAGCTGTGTGTCAGGTGATTAATCACTGCTAAAGTCTGCAGCCTCTACAGAGGCTAGACATTTGACAGTAATAGACTGATATGAATAGGGAGAATATGTTAAAGGCTGTTCTAATGAGGAAGGTGATCAATAGTTCTCCATGTCTACTGAAGGCAGGACAAGAAATAATGGGCTTAAATCTGCAGCAAAGGAGATTTAGGTTAGATATTAGGAAAATTTTTCTAACCATAAGGGTAGTTAAGCTCTGGAATACGCTACTCAAGGGGGTAGTGGAATCCCCATCATGAAGGTTTTTAAGAATGGGCTGGACAAACACCTGTCAGGGATGGTTTGTTTCCAGTGGAGTTCATCCCTCTCTGGTATTGTTCATTCAGTCCTTCCGGAAATTACTTATTACTGAAGCTCATAAAAATACTTCTGAGAGCATTTTTTTTCTTTGTGTGGATTGTGCAATTTGCATTGAATGCCAGATATTATCGAAAAATTTCCCAGAGGAGGAGGGAATGCCCAATATTTGTTCTAGAAGGTATTAATCATGACCCATACTTCAGATTAGTACAGCACAGTGTTAAAGGTATGTATCATCATACGTCTTAAGTGTATAGCCAGTGTAAAAGTCAGTACTGTATACTTTTCAGGAACAAAGTGAAGCTTATAATAAGCGAGGTGGAATTGCCTTTCTTCTTGCTTGTGGTTATGCAAAAGCATTTTTATCAAGCAAATGAGTATGTAGCCCTCTCTTTACAATCACATACACCCTTGTAACACAGGGTTCATCATATGCTAAGGCGGCCATTTTCTGTGGGAGTCTGGCTAAAATGTTGGCAGCATATGACTCAGGAAATATAAGGACTAGAAATGTAATTTTGGGGGAAAAAAATCTTTTGGAAACTAAATGGGCTAGAAGAGAAGTTACTGGTTCAGTGAGTACTGACTTAGCCCTGGCTTATCTACAGTTGTGTAGGAATCATTCTTCCACCAATTCCTTCTCCAAAGTCTTGTCTTTATACAAAAGAACAAACTGCTGTAATAGGATGCCCATCTAGTGATTTCTATCATACTGGTTTTCAGTTTAGCATTTTTCTTTCACAGCTCCCCCCTCCCCCAAGCCATATATTGAAGAGCAGTTAGAAAATAGCAGCCCATGTGTGAAATCTCCTCTGAAAGGTACAAGTGTGAAAGTGTCTTATTTTTTGCTTGAAATAGTTTTGTAAAGAAGGCAGGAGGTAGAATTTCATTTCCAGGAGATAGGGATTATGGGTCCTGGAAAGTCTGACGGGTCTGTAACTTTAACGGCTGTTCTTATTCATTTTTGAATACATATGTGGCCCCTCCTTGTTCCCTCGGTACAAGGGCCCTGCATTTCTTTGCTGCAATGTTTCTTTTATATTTGGGGGCCACAAAATCTGTGTGCTTCAAAGAAAACATATTGTTTTCAGCCAGGCCTTGCATAACAATTTATACCTGCTCTTCCTTCTTTTTTTTTTTTCTGTGCTGGGATTCTCACATAAGAAGTATCCAGGGTTCCCCTAATTGGTAGTAACAGTATTGAACACAAGCTGGTGAGAGATTTTAAGATTAGTGTATACCCTTTGTATCACTCTAGGAAAAATTAATTAAAGACAGTAAATCCTTGAGCTTAATGGTTGCAGATGCTAAAGCCCCAGGCATAATCTTATATCTAGAATGCACCAGACTGGAGCCTTTAATCAGTCAAGTAGGGCTTACTTCTGTGATCACATCAGCAGGTATCTGATATTAGCTGCCAAGTAATATGGGATACTATATATATTCAGCAGATTGGGGCCTCATCTGAGGTGGCTTGTGATTGGCCCCCAGTGTGAGTGTGTAAGTGGGGAGGGCCACAAAGTCTCTAACCTTTTGCTCTGTGCCCAGGGATGGATTGCAGTTTCTGTCTGGAACATGACAGATAGAGGAAGGGGGAACCTAACCTCCTCCCAGTGGCATCAGCTCCCTAAGTAGGAGAAGAGAGAGGCATAGGGGATTGAGCAAGGGGGAGCCTGGACTTCCGTCAGTCATCAGCAACAGTGGTAGCCTCTTTGGGATGAAAAGGGAGAAACTCTGAGGAGGGAAAGGAGAAGCCCTGTGAGGAGAAGAGAGTGGAGGCACTTTGCTGAGAGGGATTGGGGGGAGAGGTCAACTCAAAGGGGGGAAAAGGCAAAGATTTCTGGGGGAAAGGAGAGAGTGTCCCAAGGAGGTGGGATGGGGAGAGAAGAACAGAGAAAGGTGGGGGCTTCAGGGTCGGAGATGAAGAAATGGGGGAGTGGAGAGAGAATATTGAATAGAGAAGAGAGCAGAAAAGAAGGGGAGCAAGGAGGAAGAAACAACATTAAATGAGAAAGAGCAACAGGTGTGGAGAATAAGAACTGGAAAAAATATGAAAGTGATAAGGAATTAGGATCAGCCTTATGATTTGAGAGCTGCTAGACAAGAGTGGGACTCATAAATTCCTGGATAAAGAGGTTGAGAGAGGGACTATTGAGTTGCCTCTCTGTCTAGTACTGCAACTGTAAAGGGAGACAGGGTCATCCCATGCTTTACAGAAGTTGCATAGGATGCAGAGTGTGTAAAAGAGTGGCTTGCCAATTGACCACTTGCTTTGCTTGCCCCAGATCATCCCCCACATCATTCCAAAAGATGGCAAGGTTTGAATCCCTGTGGATAAGGCCACAGGTCCTGCTATCAACCCTGGCAAATCCCCAGGGGTCCAAAGGGACCCAGGCATCTCAAGTTGGCAATCGCCAAAATGAGGCACCTAAAAATCAATTGACACCTGAAAATTTTAAAGTTAATTATGATGATAAAACCTAGTAAGATAGAAAGTAAAGCAGCCACAAATTGATGCCATTTCCCCCCAAAAGAGGTCTTTATCCTCTCTGTATCTCACTTTCCACATCTGTAAATTTGAGATATTTAACTGCTTCTCAGGGGTGTTATGAGGCTTAATTAATTAAAATGTGACCTTCTCAGCTGAGTATGATTACAGAAGATAAAGTCACATTATTATTTGAAATCACAGTTTTCACTTTTCAAGGGAGAGGTCAACTACAATAATGAGTAACCTGTGGCGGGCTCCACTGAGCTTTGAGAGGATTTTTTTTTTTTAATTATTTATTTTCTTAAAAGACAGCTCACTTCCTAACTCACTAGGACCCAAGAACTCAGTTCTTTTCTAATCGTTCATTAACATGAATAATAGAGTATGTCAGTGAGAGTGGCTTAGAAAAGACTTTTTATGTTTACATAGTACATGCCAACTGATGCAGTAGCAAATGTTGCTTCCTATTGGCTGGAGGTGCTATCCATCACATGATCTGTGAGACTACAAGCTCTGATCTCTTTGCAAAAACAGATGTGCTTGGTCAGGAGAGGCAGATTCCTTTCTCAATGGAAAAAAACATTGCTTTTAGCTTTTTACTCCTCTTTTTATGTGTAGGATTTTCAGTCTCTGTGGATCAAATGTTTGTAAGAATGGATGGAAGGTCAGTAATTTGATACATTTCAACAAACTACTTTGGTGAAGCTGAATGCATGTTTTAAATGTTGTAGTTTTGTAATTTTACTTTGTGTCTTATTCAAATAGATTTGATCAAAGTCCAGCATGGCAGCAGAGGATTAGAATATTTTTAGTTTTAAAACATCTAGGACTCATGCAGAAATGAACCTTTTCAACTCTAAGATATGAAATGTTACTGTACCTCTTTCAAATTATTTTATACATAAGCCTACAGTGGTCTAAAAAGGCATATGCCCTAGTGATCTCTTTCTCATACTTGATTACATTGTAATGCTTTTCTCACTTTTTCATTCCCAACCAGTTCTTAAAACAGAACTATAAATAAAATAGCAGCAGAGGTGCCAAGAAACAAAGCTAAAATATTCCATTTCTGTAACGTGAATATTATTGAAATCTAGATTCAACATTGCAAGAAATATTAAACTGACAAAATTGTTCCTAATCCTAAGTATTTTTATTTGCCATTGTCTTTGAGTGCATTCTATTTTTTATATAGTATAAATAGAAGGCACAGAAAATGACAAGAAAGAGAGAGTGCTTTCTAAAGCCAAGCATTATAAAAGTGAAAATAGCCAAATTTAATTATTTGTATCATGTCTCACAGTCACTAATAACGTGCAGATCAAATATGCTGATGATCACAGCTGGCAATAAAGTCTGAATATTTTGGGCAACAGGGACATGTGGTGATTTGCTTAAGCTTGTATTAAGAGATCTGTGAGTCAGTTATAAATATTACAATATGTTTTCATTGAAATAGTTTATTTTCTGTTCTCATTTGGCAATTTCCAAATCAGTTAGTGCCTCCTAGCAGTTTCACTTTTCTTTGATCAGTAAGATGTTCTAACAGAATGGAACTAATTGAGTTTTCACACACACTTTATAAGAAAGATTAATGCATTAAGGCCCAATCCTGTTCCCACTGAAGTTAATGTAAGTTTTGTCTTTGACTGAAGCAGAATCATACCCTTCACGTGTTAAGTCACCAAGAGTAATACTGAACTCAGTTTCTTTTTTTAAAAAAACAAAGCTCTACAGTTTTGTTACTTCTTAGGTTCTGGTCTTAGAGACCTTATTCAGGCATAATCCATTAAAGAGTGGGAGTTTCGCCTAAGTTGGAACTGCAGAATCAAGTCCTTTAATTGTGAAATTTCAATTAAAATATAAAATTATTTAAATGTGGGTCTCTGAAAGGTATGTTTCCTCCTGTGAAATTACTATAAAAATAATAGTATAATTTGAAAGGCATGATAGCTTTACAGAGGGAAGCAAACTATCTTTGTAGGGATTTGTTTGTTAATGATAAGAAATAAAAAAAAACCTCTAATAAAATATTTTTCATTGGAGGATTCCATTAAAGAAACCTACATTTTGGGCCTGATTCTGATCTCACTTACACCGATTTCACACCAGTGTAAGTGAATTAACTTCAGTTAAGTTACTTGTGGTTGGTGTAACTAAGGTATGTCTACACTGCAAACAAAGGTGTGATTGTAGCGTGAATAGGCCAAGGACCCTTGGTACATACTTGGGTTGAAGTCCATCTTCACTACTATTTTTACCCATTCTAGCTGGATTAAAGCTGGGAAAGGTATGTCTACCACTCTACAATCACATCTTCTGGTGTATTTGTACCCTAAGGCCTGGTCTACACTACGAGGTTAGGTCGACTTTAGCCGCGTTAAATCGACTTAAGCCTGGACACGTTTACACTACGAAGCCCTTTCTTTTGACTTAAAGGGCCCTTTAAACCGGTTTCTTAACACCACCTCGACGAGGGGATTAGCGATAAAATCGGCCTTAGGGGGTCGGAATTGGGTTAATGTGGACGGAATTCGACATTATTGGCCTCCGGGAGCTACCCCACAGTGCTTCATTGTGACCGCTCTGGACAGCACTCTCATCTCAGATGCACTGGCCAGGTAGACAGGAAAAGCCCCGCGAACGTTTGAATTTCATTTCCTGTTTGCTCAGCGTGGAGAGCACAGGTGACCATGCAGAGCTCATCAGCACAGGTAACCGTGATGGAGTCCCAGTCCCAGGATCGCAGAAGAGCTCCAGCCTGGACCGAACGGGAGGTACGGGATCTGATCGCCATCTGGGGAGATGAATCAGTGCTCGCCGAACTCCGAAGCAGTAAAAGAAATGGCAAAACATTAGAAAAGATCTCCAAGGCCATGAAGGACAGAGGCCATAACAGGGACGCACAGCAGTGCCGCGTGAAAATTAAGGAGCTAAGGCAAGCCTACCACAAAGCCAGAGACGCAAACGGAAGGTCCGGGGCTGAGCCGCAAACATGCCGCTACTACGCAGAGCTGCATGCCATTCTAGGGGGTGCAGCCACCACTAGCCCAAGCGTGTGCTATGAGTCCCTCGCTGGAAACAGGGAAGCGGGTTCGGCGGACGAGGAAGATGAGGATGGAGAGAACATAGATAGCTCACAGCAGCAAGGAAGCGGAGAAACCAGTTACCCCAACAGCCAGGATATGTTTGTCACCCTGGACCTGGAACCAGTAACCCCCGAACTCACCCAAGACCCTGAGGGCACACAGGGGACCTCTGGTGAGTGTACCTTTGTAAATATTACACATGGTTTAAAAACAAGCGTGTTTAATGATTAATTTGCCCTGGCAATCGCGGCCAGTACAGCTACTGGAAAAGTCTGTTAACGTGTATGGGGATGGAGCGGAAATCCTCCAGGGACATCTCCAGAAAGCTCTCCTTCATGTACTCCCAAAGCCTTTGCAAAAGGTTTCTGGGGAGGGCTGCCTTATCCCGTCCGCCATAGTAGGACACTTTACCACGCCAGGCCAGTAGCACGTAGTCTGGAATCATTGCATAACAAAGCATGGCAGCGTATGGTCCCGGTGTTTGCTGGCATGCAGACAACATCCATTCCTTATCGCTCTTTGTTATCCTCAGGAGAGTGATATCATTCACGGTCACCTGGTTGAAATGGTGCAATTTTATTAAGGGGACATTCAGAGGTGCCCCTTCCTGCTCTGCTGAACAGAAATATTCCCCGCTGTTAACCACGCGGTGGGGGGAGGGGTGAAGTGACCATCCCAGAGAATTGGGTGTGTGGGGGAGGGGAGTTAGTTGGGTTTGTGCTGCATGTTAAACTTGAAACCGCAGCCCCTCCTTTTACATTGCAAACCCATTTTAAATGGCCAACCCAACGGGTGCTTGGTATGGTTAATGAGAGCAGTACTGTTTTAAAGCATCCCCACTTGTTAACAAGGTTAAAAAAGCCAAAAGACTGTGTCTTACCATGGCTGCCTGCAAGCTGAAATCTGTGGCCTGGCACTGCGTGAGTGATCTCTCACACCAAACCGGCAGGCCCTCAATATAAGAGGAAAAATGCGACCTTGTAACGAAAGCACATGTGCTGTGTGATGTGAACAGCAAAATCTAACGTGAAAGAGTGTACCCATTGTTCTCTAAAATGTATCTTTTTTAAACAACTCTCCCTTCTCCTCCACCAGCTGCAAATGTTGCACCTTCACAGAGGCTAGTGAATATTCGAAGAAGGAAGCGAAGGACGCGTGACGAAATGTTCACTGAACTACAGACTGCATCCCACGCTGACAGAGCACAGCAGAATGCGTGGAGGCAGTCAATGACTGATTTTAAAAAAGCCCAATATGAGCGAGAGGAGAGGTGGCGTGCTGAATCGTGGGCTGAAGAGGAGAAGTTGCGTGCTCAAGAGGAGAAGTTGCGTGCTGAAACGCGGGCTGAAGATGAGAGGTGGCGTCAACTTGTACTCAGAAAGCAAGAGTCGATGCTCCGGCTGCTGGAGCATCAAAGGGATATGCTCCTGCGTATGGTTGAGCTGCAGGAAAGGCAGCAGGAGCAGAGACCGCCGCTACAGCCCCTCTGTAACCAACAGCCCTCCTCCCCAAGTCCCATTGCCTCCTCACCCAGACGCCCAAGAACACGGTGGGGGGGCCTCTGGCCACCCAATCACTCCAGCCTAGATGATTTCCAGTGCAATAAGTTTTAAAGTTTTAAAGTGCACTGTGTCCTTTTCCTTCCCTCCTCCCCCACCCATCCAGGCCTACCTTTGCAATTATCCCCCTAGTTGTGTGCTGAATTAATAAAGAATGCATGAATGTGAAGTAACAATGACTTTATTGCCTCTGCAAGTGGTGCTCGAAGGGGGGGAGGGTAGTAGGGGAGGGTGGGGTTGTTGGTTTACAGGGAAGTATAGAGTTAACCGGGTGGGGGGGTGTAGGGGCGGAGGGTTCATCAAGGAGAAACAAACAGAAGTTTCACTCCGTAGCCTGGCCAGTCACAAAACTGGTTTTCAAGTTTTGATGCGCACCGCGCCCTGCTGTGCTCCTCTAACCGCCCTGGTGTCTGGCTGCGCGTAATCAGCGGCCAGGCGATTTGCCTCAACCTCCCACCCCGCCATAAATGTCTCCCCCTTACTTTCACAGATATTGTGGAGCGCACAGCAAGCAGCAATAACAATGGGGATATTCTTTTCGCTAAGGTCTGAGCGAGTCAGTAAGCTGCGCCAGCGTGCTTTTAAACGCCCAAATGCACATTCCACCACCATTCGGCACTTGCTCAGCCTGTAGTTGAACAGGTCCTGACTCCTGTCCAGGCTGCCTGTGTACGGCTTCATGAGCCATGGCATTAAGGGGTAGGCTGGGTCCCCAAGGATAACGATAGGCATTTCAACATCCCCAATGGTTATTTTCTGGTCCGGGAAGAAAGTCCCTTCCTCCAGCTTTCGAAACAGAAGAGACTGCCTGAAGACGCGAGCATCATGTACCCTTCCCGGCCAGCCCACGTTGATGTCGGTGAAACGTCCCTTGTGATCCACCAGGGCTTGCAGCAGCATTGAAAAGTACCCCTTGCGGTTTATGTACTCGGTGGCTTGGTGCGCCGGTGCCAAGATAGGGATATGGGTTCCGTCTATCGCCCCACCACAGTTTGGGAATCCCATTGCAGCAAAGC